AGACTGAGCCAGATTACTGCACTACAGAGGGGTTGTTGTTTGAGAAGACTAACGTAGTAGACCGCCTGTGCATTCCCAACAGTGAGGAGATCCGCAGTCTGATTCTAGGGGAATGCCATGATACAGAGGGACACTTCGGTTGGCAAAATACTTTAGCCAATCTTATGCACGCGTACACTTGGCCAGGCATGAAAGACGACTGCATAGTGTATGTCCGCAATTGTAAAGTCTGTCAGAGGAACAAGACTACTACGCGTGCCCCTCTAGGTCTTCTCAGGCCCTTGCCTATCCCAGACCAGCCTGGAGATTCGGTCTCCATTGACTTCATGGATGCCGGTGTCAAGGGTAGGCACGGCAAGAGCCAAGTCATGGTTGTAGTTGATAGGTTTAGCAAATATGCTATTTTTGTTCCTTTGCCTGCAGAGGCACGCGCAGAGTTAGTAATACAGAAGTTTTTCGATTTTTGGGTTAGTGAGCATGGAGTCCCATTGTCCATAGTTAACGATAGAGATAGTCGCTTCACCAGCCGGAACTGACAGGAAATCATGAGAGTTTATGGGTCAAGGTTGTTGATGTTGTCTGGCCGCCATCCATAGACTAACGGTCAGACCGAGCAGATGAACAAGATCCTGCGCTGTTGTTGAAAACCTCAGGAAGGCCCGGCACCGGATGATAGAGCAAGCTAATAAGCATCATCGCCCATCACAGTTTCAGGTAGGCGACCTGGTCTGGGTCAAGTCTAAAGAGTTTGCACCTGAGGAGAACATCTCGCAGAAGTTACTGCCCGCGTATAGAGGACCGTGGCCAGTTCTAGAAGTAAAGGGCGGAGAGGATGGACCGTCCTACACCATAGAGATACCAGCACACCTCCACACCTACCCTGTGTTTCACGCATCAAAGTTGCTGCCGTGTGTCACAAGTCAACAATTTCCATCTAGACGGTCCATGATTCCTCCAGACATGGACGAAAGATATGACATTGACGGCATTGTAGGTGAAAATGTGTTCAGAACAGGAGGTAGAGGTCGTCCACAGAAACAGTATAAGGTCCGGTTCGCTTATCAGGAGCTGGAGGATGACCGCTGGTTCACTAGAGCAGAACTTCTAGAGACAGCTCCCGATATAGTTAGAGCCTATGAGAGAGATCAGAGAGGTAAAGGTCCTGCCTTGGACTGAGTTATTCTCGGAGGACCTCGAATTTAGGCCGGCGGGAGTGAAACGGTATTCACCAAGTTTGCAGTAACTGATGCAGATCCCAGGGCTCGATCCCTAGCCCCCAACCTACCTGTGTACAGTATCTGTGTCGACCCCTAGAGTTGAACCTGCGACCTGTGTATTTGTAACAGTTGGTAGGTTGTTGTAGGGTCCATAGGTAGCAGGGGTTCGATATGTAGACCTGTCGAGTAGGAGTCCCAGTAGGTCCTGAAGTCGTAGCTGTAGCCTTCTCGAAGAGTCAAGGTCGTAGCTGCTACAGTCCAGAAAGGTCAAGGTCGTAGCTGCTACAGTACCGAAAGGCCAAGTCTACGGCCTTCCGGAAGGTCCGAGTAGTGGCCTTTCGGAGTTTCCTACTGTTATGCTGAGGCAAGTGGGCAAGTGGCGAGGCAAGTGGTGGAGTCTACCCGCACTGAGTCAGCAGTCCCAGTCCTAGGCGGTCCTGGTCTAGTCAAGCAAGTACCGCATGGGACTGTGTGCACTTCGGGCATGGGAAAGGGCCAGACCAACGAGGTGCAGAAGTATAAATCAAGAGGCAGCGCCCAGTCACTCATTCATTCCTGCGAGAGCCATGCGGAAGAGCTGCCACAGCGACTTGTGCAAGGAGGTCTGCAGTGAGCCCGAAGACGAAGTGGGCGAGAGAGACGAAGTGTAGCCATAGCGATAGGGTAGTAGCGGCCATAGCCGCCATAGCTGTAGTTGGAGTTCAGTGTGTGTAAGAGTGAGTGATCAGAGAGTCGCGTGTGGGATATCCAGGGTGATCCAGTGTATGCGAACAGAGGGTTGTGTGGGCGCTGTGTCGCCATAGCCATGTGAAGTAAACTCGTATCTGAGTTGCGTTCTTGGTCACCATATCTCTGAGCTTTGAGTGGGCGCTTGTCGCCAGTCTGCTGCGTTACTGTTTGCATGCATGTAAGGTGCGAAGGAAGCGAGTCTGATTGCACATACCACTTTCCACAGAGAGAGAGACAGAGGGTGCGAGAAAGAGAGAGTGAGCAAGAGAGAGCGGGAGGAGTTCTATTGTTCAATCAATAAAAGAAAAGTTCTCGATTTCTGTGCATCATCCTTGCACAGGGGCCATGGTAATATTCTCTGTATCGTTCCGATTTAATGGATGTCCCAATGCACAGATACCTTACGGACAATCTGTTTCAAATTGGCACAGGAAAGAAAAGTGAACTGAGTCCTTCAGGACATCCGTTAAAATTGGAATGATACAGAGGAGATTACCATGGCCCCTGCGCAACACGAATTGAGAAATGTAAAAAAAAATAAATTATCTTCGTCCAGATATGGTACAAAATTGTAATCTTCTTGCTGTCTATCGTACCGCTTTCCACATAGAGAGTAGGACGAGAGAGAGAGAGAGAGAGAGAGAGGAGGAGGAAGAGAGGACAGCATAATGCAGACAACCTGGACAGCAGCATTCCTCCAAGCAGATAGTAGCATCGGTTCCGGTGCGTGTCAACCACACCATCGTTACTGCTGAAAGTTCTTAGAGCATAAAAATTTCAGATAGAGAACATGGAATATAGAGATTCAAAACAATCTATGCATAACAAAGCAGTCACCCCCTTTGACTCCACCAAAACCGTCTCCCACTGTCCCGACTGCGCGCCGTCCCCTGCTGGACGGCCGGCCTCCTCTAACGCCTCCTTTGCCGCCCGGGGGCTACCCTGTCTTACCCGTTAGCCCCTGTCCTCCGCCGGAGCCCCCCTCCCAAACCTCCCCCCCTCAGAACTCCCCCTCGACCTCATCCATTTTGCCGCTTCTCCCATGAGGCCATCCCCCCCAAGCAGCCCGTCCCCCCCCTCCTTTCCCGAAGACCCGCCCTTCTTGATGCCTCCCCCACCACGATCACCCCGTACCCCTGAAGACACGCCCTTTCAGGCATCCCCCGCACCCCCTCGCTCCTCCTCTCCTCACGACAGCTCCACATCTACAGGGCGGCAAGGCCAGGTGCAACGACCAGTAGGGAGCGCTGGCCCGGAGCCAGCGCTGTGGCCACGATTCCTTGGTGTCAACAGAAGAGTGTGAGAGGCTCATAAGACACATTGTGTCAGGATTGGTTGCGTTTGGCCAAGGATCTGGGAGATACAGCATGCCAGATGTTAACGCAAGCCAAAAAGGGGAGGGGGGCTACGACCCTGACAGAATGGGACTGCAGGCGTACGGGAGGACAGATGGTCTGGGGGGGGCGCCTCTGGAAGCAGGGGCCAGGGGAGTCGACTCACCAGAATCTGAAGGATGGACTACAAGGGGCGGAAAGGGCAGTGGAAGGGGAGCACCTCCCCCCGGTAGCTGCGTGAGCAGCTAAGCAGGGGCAGAGTGAGGACTGCACAGTCGATTCTGGGTTAAAGTAACATGGGAAGAGAGCGGTATAAGTACCGCCCTGGTAGTGTCAAGAGAAGTCTAGGCAGGGACAGTTAGGGGTACTGAAATGCTTAAGCCTGGGACAAACTGCTGCGGAAACTGAGTGTTATAGGGTGTCTCATGAAATCGGTGATGTCAATATGGGACGCTGGGCCTGGTACCCAGTACGTGTCGTTTCCCACTAGTAAGATTGGAGCCATCTGACACCGGTGCCCCTACAACAGGCATGGGCTCTTGTCTCCCGTCTGCTGTAGGGTCAGCCCAGTTGATGTTTCTTTAAATTACAAAAGGCAAAAAGGGCCGCTGTACGCGACCACAGTTTGCCATGTTGTATGTTTGCCTCTGTTTCTTGTTGTCCGTTTTCAGTCTTTCGACGGTTCGTAAGGAGTAGTAACTACGGCGCAGTCATGTTTTCCTCGAATTCAACACATCCCCACCCAACCCTAAAAAGCTGGGTTGCACACATTCACGGTTTTCCTCGCTTTGGAGCAAAATTTGTGAAACGGTGACTGAAACAATTGCTGCAGCTTGGCTTAACCGCCGCAGTTGTGACACTTGGTATGGGTGTACTATACAGTGACAGATGATATATTAGGATGGACCCCTGGGAGGTGAATGAAAATCGAGAATCTAGAATAGCAGACTGTTGGGACCTGGAGGTGCTGAGAGTGAGAAAGGAGCGTGGAAGGATAGGAAATACACATGGAAGTAGACACCAGCTGGAGACGTCGTAATTATGTGAAGAAATAGTGAAGCACTGGCATGTGGCCTGAAGGGCTGCTCAGAACGCCCCCCTCTGGTGCCATGCCCCCCTTAGCAGCTGCTCTACTGCGTGGCTGTGTGCTGCTAGTAAGCCTCCCCGACCAATAGAAGAGCCCCCGAGGAGGGATTGAGGTTGGGGGATGGGCGCTCGCTCTGTAGCAGGGCCCCCTTGTCTAGGCGTCTAGTGCTGCAAGGGCTAGGCTGCCCCCCTTTTCTTATATTTTCTCTCCACTGCCCTCGTGTAAAACATGCTTGCCGGGGATAAGCAACCGGACTGACGCCCCCCAGAATAGAAAAAGCTCTGAGGTTTTTCTTTTTTTTCAAAAAAAAAAAAAACACGTTTAAAACTGAAAACCTCGACTGCACACCCTAGTTTTCCCTCGTAAGAAAGATTTTTCCGGCCAAGAATCTTTTGCATTTTGCAATTTCAGTCGTTCATCTGTTTAACGAGGAGATGTCACATTCAGCAATGAAAAAGCCGAGGGAAGCAGAATTGGACTCGGAAGTTGAAACGTCTCTATGCTGGAAAGTACTACTTCTGGTTCTTTCTTTTTTTTCCCGCAGTCTGTTCCTTTCACAGTTCAGTGTCAATGACCATTCACTGCATCGTTGGGTTTCATTCTTTTCTTTTCTTTTTTCCCTCCATTCTGCAGGTTTTGGAGTTGACATTGGAAATGCAAAAGCTTGATTCTGAGAAGGCGCAGCTGCAAGCACAGGTTAGTGAAACTTGGTCATCCATCAAATTTGTCTCTAATACTATAAAGGAAGCAGCGGGTCTCGCGTGATGGGCCCAACAGAAACCGGGTGCCGCCACACGGGACCTCTCCCAGGCAGTGGGCAAGGGGGAACCGGTGGCACGTCGTGTCAGGAACTGTTCGCGTCGGAAGGCATAGCGAAACCCGACCCTTCACACTTGGGAGGCCATAGGGATCGGCGGGGGCAGGCCCTGCGAGAAATCACGTGCCGCGGTTGGGGACCGATACAGGGACCTGGGGACGCGCTCTGGGCTGTTCGAAAGTTTGGACAGAATCGCGCGCCGGAAGTTTCGACCTGCACGGTTCGCCCGCTCGCGTACGCACTTTGGGGACCGATACAGGTTTTGGGGACGTGCGCTCGCGCACGGGAAGCTTCGACGTGCAAAAGAGAGAGAGAGAGATAAAGAGAGAGAGAGAGAGAGAGAGAGAGAGAGAGAGAGAGAGAGAGAGAGAGAGAGAGAGAGAG